ATCACTCATGTCAATAATAACATTTTCTTATCTACCTTGCTTAGAATTGTATTCCCATCGGGCAGCAGCTTCAGTCAGCTTTGGGAAGCACTGGATTCAAGCACATGACCGGCCTGCAATCACCATCTGTTTCAGGGGCCTTCGACAAGTCATCCCCCACACCTTTCCCCTCCAGGACTGGATTGACATCTGGAAACGTGGCTGAAGACTTAAAAGCTTACATTGATAAAAGTACGCAGCCAGCTGGTGGAGGAAATATGACAAGCCTCCAAGAGTGTAAAATTGTGCCACAAAACCATTCTCTTCCTGAGAATGATCTTAAGAATGCAGTATCTTCTTTGTTACCAAAGAAAGCAAGTGACAACTCACATATACCTAACTCTGAGTTGCTGCCTGTTCTGCAGAATCTGTGTAGTCAAGTGAACCATCTCCGTGTGGGACCCAACACCAAGTGGCAGGAAAGTATCACCAAGCCCGGCGAAGGCACTGTTGGTGTTGCGTGAGTATCTAAGACAAGTGTGGTTTAGATTGGGGGCAGGAGGGGGGAGGCAGGTGGAGGAAAACAGGTTTGTTTCAATAACTAATGCCTGAAAATGTTTCCAGAGAGGATTTTAGGAGCTTTTACATTTCACCATTAACACATAGGAAAGAAATACTCAGCAGACTAGGATGGATTGCTTTGAAAGAAGTGGGTAAAACTGGAGGTGCCGCGCACTTCTCAGGCGTCTGATGGAAGGGGTACAAGCAGCAGATAGGGTCAGAGTAGAGAGTCGTCTGCATGAATGGAGAGGAGCTGTGGTGACCATGATATGTACATTTTTTGCCTGATTGTATGAAGTGAGCCATTGTAACAGATTTCCTCTGTAGATCGTGTGTGACCTAGGCTAATTTCGGAGTCATCCAAACATTTTTCAGCTCTGAATTATTTCTAGTGTACAGGCCCTTATCCCCTGATCTCATAATTCCAATTTTTTCCAGTCCTGCTTTGATTGAGGGGTGGCTAAGTGTTTAGTATGTTCCCCATCCTTTATATAGATGTAATGTGTCCAAATTTTGCGCTAGATTGGAATTCAGGACTCTAAACATAGTTCTAGCTTAACTATTTTGCCTTAGTGTTTAAATCTTTTGGTTTAGCCTTTTTTTCCCATGTAAAATGAGGGAGTTGTATTGGTTGAAACTTTCTTAATGTCTCCAGTAGCATTCAATTTGAGGAGTTGACGTTATTGAACAAGTGGTTCTTATTTGGGAAGGATAAGGAAAGATAACAATAGTCTTTAATTGTTTTTTTTTGTTTTGGCCATGCTGCGTGGCATGTGGGATCTTAGTTCTTAGTCTCCCGACCAGGGATTGAACCTGTGCCCCTGCACTGGAAGCGCGGAGTCTTAACCACTGGACCACCAGGGACGTTCCAGTCTTTAGTTGTTGATAGTCTAATCAATGTTAACTTGTGGTATAGCAAAACGAAGCAAACGAACAATAAAACCCAAAGGAAAAAAAAAACCTAAACAGATTTAAAAACTGCTCCTGTGTCCAGCTGAGGTGGAATGTCCCCATTTCTCTCAGATCCCCCTTTTTACCAATAAAAATCCCTGGACATAATCCAGCAAACATACAAAGACTGTAAAAGGTGGAAAGAAGTCAGATTGCTCAGGGACTGTGAGGCTTAGTGTTCCTTGGTTCCTAGTTACCTGGGAGTTTCTTTCATCATAGATGGGTATAGGATTTTGTCAAATATTTTTCCTATGGCCATTCATATGATCATGAATTTTCTTCTGTAGTCTGTTCATATGGGGAATTACATTAATTTCAAAAACGGAACCTGCCTTGTATACCTAGAATAAATCCCACTTGGTTGTGGGCTGTAATTCTTTTTTACACAATGCTGGATCTGATCTGCTAATATTTTGTTGAGTATCCTTGCATCTAATTCATTAGAGATACTGGTCTGTATTTTTCTTGTACTGTCTTTGTCTGGTTTTCATGAGGGTGATACTGGCCTCATAAGATGAGTTCTACATCTTAGAAGAGATTGTGTAAAATTGGTGTTATCTCTTCTTAAGATGTTTGGTAGAAGTCTCTAAGGAAAGCAGCTGGGCCTGGTTATTTCTTTCCTGGAAACTGTTAAATTACCAATTCAATTTCTAACATAGTAAAGTTGTCAGTTCTCCCTGTTGATATGCAGGCTTAATATTATGCATATTGAAATCCCACCACAATATTTGGCAGACATAAGCAGGATCATTTTAAAAATTATATGAACAACAAAAGAGGTAGAATAGCTAAAACAACTTTGAAAAAGAAGAATGAAGTGGGAGGAATCACTCTTCCCAGTGTCGAGTCTTATGTAGTTAGAGTATTCAAGATGATGTAGTGATGGCAGAGGGACAGACACATAGGTCAATGGAACATAATGGAGGGCTCAGAAATAGACCCACAAAAATATGCTCAACTGATTTTTGACAAAGGTGCAACAGCAATTCAATAAAGGAAGAATAGTCTTTTTAACACATGGTGATGGAGCAATTGGATATCCGAAGGGCAAAAAGTGAACCATGACCCAAACCTCATACCTTATATAAAAATTAGCTCAAAATGGATCATAGACTTAAATGTAAAACATAAAGCTATAAAATTTTTCTAATAATACATAGGAAACAATCTTTGGAGACCTAAGACAAGACAAGACTTCTTAGATATGACACCAAAAGCAGGGTAATCAAAAATTTGATATATTAGATGCCATGAAAATGTAAAACTTTTGCTCTTCTCTGTTAAGAGGAATAAAATACAAATTACAGAGTGAGGGAAAATATTTGCAAATACGTATCCAACAAATGACTTATATTGAAAATATAGAAAGAACTCTCAAAACTCAACATTAAAAAAATCCAATTAGAACATGGGCAAAAGACATAAAGAGATATTATACCAGAGAGAATGTACGAAAAGCAAATAAGCACATGAATAGAAGTGCTGTTGATCTCATGGCTATTAAGGAAACACACATGAAAACCACAAGAAACCACTACACAGAATGGCTAAAATAAAAAGTTTAAAAATGGTAACAAAACCAAATACCAATGAGGATGTGGAGAAACTGGAGCTCTCGTACATTGCTCGTGGCGATTTAAAGTGGTACAGCCACTCTAAATAAGTTTGGCAGTTTCTAATGGCTAAACATAGAGTTACCATGTGACTCAGCAGTCATACTCCTGAGGGTTTATCCCAGAGAAATGAAAACTTCTTTCCACATAAAAACCAAAAACCAGTACACAGTTGTTCATAGAAGCTTTATTCGTAAAAGCCAAAAACTACCAGTATGTCTGAAAATAGATGAGTGGTTAAATTAACCCTGGTATATCCATATCATGGGATGCTATCAGCAATAAAGAGGAATGACCTGTTGATACATGCAACAACTTGGTTGTCTATCAAAGGCATTATGCTGATTGACAAAAGAGAATCTCAAGAGGTCACATACTATATGATTCTGTTTGTGTAATAATAGAGATTATTATAATAATCTCAAAGTAATAGAGATGAAGACTGTATTAGTGATTACCAAGTGTTAAGGATAGAGGAGATTAGGAGAGTGGATGTGACAATAAAAGGGTAGCAGGAGGGAGATCTTTGTAGTTAAGGAATAGTTCTGTCTCTTGACTGGTTTTTACAATCGAGACAGAACTTGATTCTGTCAAGAACGTGATGTTTACATGAATGTGTGTACATGTGATAAAATGTCATACACACACACTGTACTAACATCAAATTCCTGGTTTTAATATTATACCATAGTTAGGTAAGATGTAACGATTGGGACCATTGGGGAATTATAGTATCTTTACAACCCCTGTGAATCTATAATTATTTGAAAATAAAGAGAAAAATAAAAAGCTCCTCATATATTCTAGAGTAGTCGTTCTCAAACTTTTTGGTCTTTACCCTCTTAAAAATAATTGAGCACTCCAAAGAACTTTTATTTATGTAGGCTATATAAAAATATTTATTAGTTTAGAAATAGCAATAAGCTCATTACCTAGTAACATAAACATTTTTATGAAAAAATACCATATTTTCTTTTTAAAAAGTTTAGTGAGAATTGTATAGTTTTATTTATTTATTTGGCTGCATTGGGTCTCTGTTGCTGTGCGCCAGCTTTCTCTAGTTGCGGTGAGTGGGGGCTCCTCTTCGTTGCGGTGCGCGAGCTTCTCACTGTGGTGACCTCTTGTTGCAGAGCATGGGCTCTAGGTGCGTGGGCTGCAGTAGTTGCAGCACGTGGGCTCGATAGTTGTGGCACGCGGGCCCTAGATCACGCAGGCTTCAGTAGTTGTGGCTCACAGGCTTAGTTGCTCCATGTCATGTGGGCTCTTCCCAGACCAGGGATCGAACCTCTGTCCCCCTACATTGGCAGGCGGATTCTTAAACACTGCGCCACCAGGGAAGTTCGGTATTGTTTTAAATTTATGTAAAGCTTTATTAGCTTTGGATTGTATTCTCATATGTTGCATTATAGCATGTATAAACATACATAGCTAGTAAGACCACAGTAGAAATACTGAGAACAAATTGAGTTACCTCTGAAAAAAACATTTATCTGTACCGTAAACCTACTACCTTAAGGAATTCTAGGAAACAGAATATACAACCATACATGCTATTAGTTATCACAGTAATGACATTATACATGGTATAGCCTCTGGATAATTCATTGTACATTCATTGTACGATTCATGTTCAAATAATATTTTATTATTTTATTATTTATTTATTTTATTTATTATTTATTTATTATTTATTATTATTAATATAGTATTATAAAAATACTTTTGACCTCATGGAACCCCTGGAAAAAGTCGTGGAGACCCCAGGGTTTTGTGGACCACACTCTGAAGTTCACTGTCCTTGTCCTTCCACTGCTTTAGCAAGGTTGTTTGGATGAAAAAAGAGAAAACTGTTTAAATTGTAGGGTTGCTTGGGGAAGAACTTGGAAGACAAACATGGAGACCTTAAAAAAAGTCAGTAAGATCGCTTTTGATTTGAGGCTCAAAACCAGAAAGACCCTTTCTATCTAAAGACCTGTTCTTTGAGGGTAGAAATTCTATCATCTTCATATTTATATTCTCATTTCAATTGATGCTTAAATGTTTAAAGAAGTAAGAATCCTTTGGGCATTCAGGATTGTGGTTGCCTGTTGCATATGTATTTTAGAACCTGGAAATATGTTGTAAGGGGACAGAGTATAGTTGTGGAGACAAATTTTAGCAATGTGTGTTGGCTGCTTATTGTACTATAGTTTGGTTGTTTTTGTTATAATATTAGGGAAAATTGCTCTATTATTATTTTTTTAATTTATTTTTAGAATGGAAGAGCAATCCATTTGTTCCTACTTGGAAAAGATTCTTTCTAAAAATATGGAACTGATGGAAAAGAAACTTATGGACTACATTGATCAGCGAATATATAAACTCCAGGAGCACATAGATAATAAGATTGCTTTGTTAGTGGACTTGCTGCAAAGTCCCAACTCCCCACCCTCTGGCATGCCTCTAAGACATTATGACTCTGGAGAAAGACTTTCAAATGGAGAAAGATAGCACTGAACATGTTCAAAGTACTACAGATATTTATTACATATTTATTACAAAGCCGAACCCCCCAAAAAAGTTTATGAAAAGCAGGTATTTAATGTCCTTTGAAATATTACCACTTACTTAACGTGACCTCACTGTTCATTTTTACTGCACTCATGAATCCAGTACTGTACACTGAGTTAACATGATAGGATCATAAGTTATTTTTGTTTGCAATATTTTTCACTCTCAGTGAAATTTATGTAAACTTCTGGATTAACTGTTTAAGATTTTAAGGATTTCTAAAGCAGTTCATTAGTTCGTATTGTATGTGTTTCATAGAAGTACATTTTTTATTTATACAAAGACTTTATAGTCTTAGGCGTCTGAAAAATAACGCTTAGAGTATTTGATAATTTTTCTTTTTCTGATCAATTGCTTTTGGAAAATTGGATACTTAAGACCTTTAATTCAAATCACTAGTTTACATTTTGTATTGTTCTTCTCAGTTAATGAACAAGGTGCAGTGTTTGGCATGTGTAAAATGAGTTTACACTGAGGTTAATATTATTTGTTTCAGTACAGTGTAGCAGTACATAGGGAAGTAAAAATCACAACTAGCCTATTCCCTGTTAGGAATATTATTTTAGATTTAATGTTTGATGTAAAATGAGAGACGTCATCTTGTTTTATCTCAGTCAACCCAGAAAATATAAGGAACTATTTCCCTTTCTGAGATGATACAGGTTCCTCTTTCCAGAACCTTCTTCTATATGTTTAAAGTGTGAAATTCTGAGGTTCTGCTTTGAAGGGTTAGGCATATGAATCAAGGAGATTGCAATTCTCTCAGGCAGACTTAATTTTTGGAAATTATAACTATTGTATATGTGTTGAAGGGTGATGTATTTGCATTTAAAAAATAAATGTATCCACTCTGGAAACTACTTGTCTAAGTAAATACAAATTTTTAATTTTCAACTAATCTTTGCTTAAAATGCTGTATTTTTATGAAAAAGGGTGTTTCACAATTGATATTTTGGTCAGTTCGTTAAAATGAGGGCTAATTTGTATACTCTTTGTTAATTTGTATCATACTACAAAGGTGACACAGTATATAGAACATACTGTCACTATAGCCACTTGAAAATTTGCATATTTTTCTAGTCTTTTCTAATTTATGGGACATTCACAACATACATAGCTGTAAGATAGTATTTCCTTTGTTGTTCAGGAGAAATCTGTCTCACTGCAAGCTGAACCCTTTAGTTAAGTTTTACAGCTTCTGGTGGTTGTAGTCTGTTGATTTACAAAATGCCTCCTTCCAGATACATGATTCATCTTACAAGTCTCATCTTGATTACATCTGAAACAGAAATATGGTCATGTCAAAAAGATGTATAAAGGTACAATATTGAAAAGAGATGATACAAAATATTCTTCAATTAAATTTTCCAGTTTGTAGAAGCCAAAATCTCTCTAAAGAGACAAAGTCTTCAGTTCAGACTAACGTAAGCTAAGACTTTGGATTTGCAAGATAGCAAAATTCCCCTAAGCCTGAATTTCTGAGTCCACATGAATTAATTTAAAAAATGATACCTATATTAGAATTTGAATACTTTTCCTCACCTGCTTGCCATTATTAATGTGCAGTATGGTGGTCCAGTTAAAATCCATTAGCTTAAACAGTCAGCTCTACCCACCACCAGTCCCTCCCATCAGGAAACTTGCACAAGCCTCTTAGATAGCCTCATCCACCAGAGGGCAGACAGCAGAAGCAAGAAGAACTACAATCCTGCAGCCTGTGGAACGAAAACCACTTTCACAGAAAGACAAGATGAAAAGGCAGAGGGCTATGTACCAGATGAAGGAACAAGATAAAACCCCAGAAAAACAACTAAATGAAGTGGAGATAGGCAACCTTCCAGAAAAAGAATTCAGAATAATGATAGTGAAGATGATCCAGGACCTCAGAAAAAGAATGGAGGCAAAGATTGAAAAGATGCAAGAAGTGTTTAACAAAGACCTAGAAGAATGAAAGAACAAACAAACAGA